GGTAAGAACCAAGTTATTATAGGATAATTTTAGATAAAAAAGCGGTAATTGAACAAAATACGATTTTATTCATTATTATTTATATTATTACTATGTTACAAAATATGGTATTATGCTAACAAATTTTTTGGTATGCGCTAGATACGCCAAAGATAAACAGTATTAAATATTGTCCAAACAGTGGAAATTAAAAAAATTCAAAAATAAAAAAAGTTACCTAAATTAAGAAACACTGTCACAATTCTTTTTAAATACACGTTGCTGTGCTCTATAACATATTTTTTTCAAAATTTTTGCAAGGGTAGAACAAAACAGTATTGTATGAAAATAAATAAAAGTAAAAGAAAAATGCTGGTATACAAGGAAAGAAAAAGTAAGGAAAGCGAATATAAACATAGGAGACGAAAAATTAGAAGGGCTGATTTTCGGTATCTAGGAAGTCAGATAACTCAGGATCGAAGGAGCAGTGTATTAAATTTGAGTAGAATTACTTGTTTAGCATTCGTAATATTTAAACATGATCGTATTTAAGTTTATCGTTGAAGCAGTGTCTTCAGAACTAAAATTTAAAAGTTTGACGTTAAATAAAAAAACTCGAATAAATAATTGGTTGTATTTAGGAGGTTGGCTAACTTTAAGTATTTAAATTGTTGATAGGTGGTGGTCCTTCTTCTACAACTGCTTCATCAACAACATCTAGTGTCCCTGGGGGACTTCAAGGGGCTACATTTACTATACCAGGCTTTCATAATAATCCGAATATGGAAGTGTTTATGGAAGTTACCCCAGAGAGTATCACAATCGATTCAATGGAGACAACTTTTGTTGGAGGTGGTCAAGCTAACGAACGTTAGTTTTTAATTTTTATTTTCGTTTTGTTTTTATTTATGTATTTAATTTACAGTTCTGCAAAATGCTTTTCAAGGCCCACCATCAGATATTTTAAATTCGATATGGCACATGGCTGGTCAGTTAGTAAACAGAGGAGCTCAGTCTACCCAATCTAATACACCAAATCCGACGTCATCTTCAACGTCGACCACAGCTCCGTCTGCTCCACCCACCGAACAAATTGATTCATCAACTAGCGAATCTTTCGGTACGCAAACAACATCAAATTTAGGATCGTCGGCTGCCACAACTCAGAATTCTCAAGCTCGAGGTAACACTCAAACTAATCCCACGACAGCTACTCATACAAGATCTACTTCGCGTCCACACGTGCATCTCGCACAACATGCCATACAGGGATTTGATCCTTACTTGCCATGTAATTCACATCACGTTGTTCCTTGGAGACGATTCCAGTCAAGTAATGCACGACAGGACAATGCTACTGCAACTGCAAGTGGCCAAAATTTACAAAGTGGAGGAACTGGAACTGATAGAGATAGTGGAGGCACTCGAATATATCCAGTTAATAACACAATCATGAATATATTGCAGGGTATAGTTAATTCAATACATACTATCTATGGTCGTCAAGCGCAGCAACAACCTCAAGCGCAGCAACAACAAAGAACTACTGTTAATGTGGCACAAGCTACACCACTGGATAATGGAGTGACGGGAAGTGTAGCACAAAGTGCCGGAGATGGTGTGGGGCAAGGGGCAACTACAGATTTAAATAGTTTACCGCTTCAATTGCTGCAAACGTTTATGCCTCAATTGCAAAATATTGTAAGTAATAAGTCAAAGCGAAGCTCTACTTCTGTATAGTCAACGGAAATTGCAAAAAAATCAAGTTCTACCTGTGTCAGGACATATTTTCATTTAGTTCCGTTAACTAAAAGAATTGTAACTGTTGATTTAATTTATGTCTAATAGTGCATTTATTTTCAGAATCTTTCTGACTCTAATACTTCTGGTCCTACAATTGCAGAGTTGCTCCAATTAAGCAGTGTTTCTGAGGGAGAAAATCTTTTTTTAGATCTTATAAATTTGTTGTCACGCCATTTAACTGTTGGGTTAGTGGATTACAAGGTTTTTAAATTTTTTGGACATTATTATTATTGGTTTCAGTGATTTGATACAATCGACAAATGGCCGTCTTGAGCCTTGGATGCGCATTCGTTCTTCTATACGAAACTTTTTTTTGGTTCGTGTCATGAATGGATCTTGTTCCAGCGTGGCAATTGACAGAGGCGTTAATCGCATCTTGTCAGAGATGCAACCCTTATTTAATCATCTCGTGAGTTTATTTGGAGTATATAATAGAATCGAAATAATTCTACTATTATTTATTATTTAATAATGTACATGCATGCTCTAACAGAGTATTTACCTTTTGCCTCCATTTTACATTTTGGTAAATAATTTTACCTTCTAAACTATTCTATTAAAATTTACCTCTGTTTTCCCTTATTTTCTCTTCAACCGCTCTCATATATTCACAATAATTCGTTACATACTTCTCTGTTCAAAATCTCTACCATTAACTCCCGCATTTCATTTTCTAATCTGTCGGTTTCCATTCCAACATAAATTATTTTACTTCCTCTTTTTGGCTTTCCATTGCTACTCCATAACAAAACAAGTGAGTTAATATTTCCCTGACTCCACTTTTACTTATCTTTTACTTTTAACCCATTTTTCTAAATATATTTTGGCGTATTTCTCCCTGCCCCAAATTTCTACTCCACATAGTGCTACGGATCTAGCCATCGAGTTCATTAAATACACACGGTCATCTCTTAAATTTCACCTGGTCTTTTTAATCACCTCCCAGGCCGCCTTTTGCACCTTTCTTGCCAGTCTTCCTATATGCCCCTCTGTACTGTTTTTCGTCGTAAACCAGTATCCCCAGATATTTTAATTCATTTACAACTTCAATTTTTTCACTCTTAAATTTCTTTTTTTTTTCTCTCTGTTCCTAAAGGCCATCACTATAGTTTTTTCGCATTTACCTTAGCTTATTTTTCTCGACGTATTTTACTAAAGTCCCTAACATGTTTTCTTATTCTTTGGCACATTCTGTGACAATTGCAATGTCCTTTCCTAAGAATCTACATCATCCAGATCATCAATAAAAATATCGAAGAGAATTGTACTTAGAGCGAATTCCTGCGTTATCCCTACATTAGTATCAAACTCTCTCTTTACCTTTCTATTTACCTGGACCTCTCTATTCACTGAATCGAAAACGGCTTTAAAAACTATGGATTCTACGTAAAATTGTCCACTTTGTCTTTAATCTAGTATTTATTAATGCATTAAACACACAGATATGATCCCTCCTGTCCCTCTATTTTTCTAAAACTTTCTTAACTCTCTTTTAATACATTTTATTCATCTAGACATTTGCTCTATCTATTTGCCATTATGCTGGTCAAAACCTTGTATCTTACATCTAATAGTGAAACTCTCCGGTAATTTTCTGCTCTACTTTCATCCCCATCATTATAAATTAGCAAAATACTAGATATCTCCCAACCCTCCTATATTTTGCCTCGTCCAAATTTGATAGAGCAATTCTTATCAATTCTAAAACCTCTCTACTTGACGCATTCATACATTCAATTGGGATCCCATCCTCACCTGTAGCCTTACCACTCGCCATTCTACTAAGCACCTCCCTATATTCGATCCTTCCCCTACCTATTTTGCCATCCCTGACTTTCTCGCAGTTTCCCACATAGTCATTTTTCCCCAACTAACTTCATGTATTTCACCTTAGTGCCCTAGCCTATCTTTAGGCCTCTGTCTTATTTTTATCCCAAATTATTTTTCCTTTCCTTCGGGCACACACACCACTTGTTTACCATCTTCTCTCCTTCGTCGAAGTTACTGTATATAAGTATTAAGCCTAGAAGAGAACCCTTACAAACATTATCTCCATCTACATATGTAACCCTTTTCCCCCCCATCATCAGCCCTAGATCTCATTTATTTCACTGTCTTCACACACAAAAATTACTTCGCAGAATCCTATTTCTTCTTCTGCAGTTAGCCCTAGCTTTGCCTCCATAGTACTCTTTGCAAAATAATTCTTATTAATTCTTCTAGAATGCATTACCCACGCGTGACGATATCGACTTAGTGAGGTCTGCCCAATCATTGTTTCGTGCTCGTTTGCCAAATATAATTTCTTTGGCCACATCAAGAAGCCCTAATTCTCTTCGAATGCTTGTTGATCAGTGCTTAATAACTGCGAAACAATTTGGTGCGTTGATTTTGCGTGCGAGTAGGAACGGACAACCTGGTGTTGAAGTTGTTTTGGATTCGATAGTTGTAAGATATAGATAATATTTGTAATTTTTTACGCTATTTTTATAATTCTGTTTGGTGTAGAGTCATCATACGAGAGGTATTCCAAGAGAGATTCAACAGTGGACATTAATGACAACTAGAACACAAATGAGGCAATTCTTGTCTAATCTAGGCGTTCCTGATAGTGTTTTACAACCATATATAGTTCGTAAGATTGATGCTGTGACGTCAAATGTTGTTGCCATTGCACAAAAGGATCAGCAAGGAGAAGTAAGTTTCTAGATAGTGTAGGGTCAATTTTAGCAACAATTAAAAAAAAAGTTACATCATTCCCCGAAATTCAAAATTTAAGTTGTGGTAAATCAATATTTTAAATGGTTAAAAATGTTTTATGTGGACTACAGAAAAATTAATTATATTGATCTTTCTAGGCTATGCAAGTGGACGATGTCGATCGAGATGACAATAGTGGTGGAGCGAGCGGTTCAACTGAAATTACGCCATCTTCTGTAATAAATCTCGGGGATAAGGAAAATGACGGGGAACCTCTTCCTACAGTTGTATTAGGATCAGAAACTTGGCATAATGACGTACCAGCTGTAAGCTACTAATGCACCTAAAATAATTGAAAATTTACATAATATCTGGTGTTGCATTTTTAAGGATTGGGTTCCTATAATAGCTCGCGATGCCCAGAGACAACGCCGACAAAATTCTCAAGCTCCTTTCAGTGACGCTTATTTGTCGGGAATGCCCAGTAAACGGAGGAAGATTGTGACAGCTGCTAAACCGCGAGGTAGTCTGTCTCAAGTAATTTCAGGTAAGTTATTCAAAATACTATAATAAGAAAATGTAAATTTGTTTTTGTGATAATGATATTGCTTTTGTAGAGAGTGTGCGCAGAGCAGTAACAGCAACTGGTTTGGCTTCAGTTGCGCCGTTAGAGGTGGTAGCGCAAGGTGCAGGGTCCGATATAAATATTCAATCAGCATACAGAGAGTTATTACGAAGTAATGTGAGAGCAGGAATTAGAGATAACTCAGACTTTACTCCTGAGCGCTTTCCTAACGCCACTAGCTATTTCAATGGTCCTCAATAATAATAATAGTAACTGTGCTTTGCATTGATATAAACAAAAAAATATGAGAGCTATTAGGCTGCTGTACTGTAGACAATGTAATAATTGTTATTATGGTTAATTACTTTATGATTATTCTATATTCTTATTGTAATATTGAACTAATACGATCATTTACTTGAGTCTGTCTGCATTACCAATAGCGTTGTTGTAGAACCAAATTTAAAAATTACTAATAAATAAAAGTGTTATGATGGGTTAATAAATTGTGTAATAATTACAAAAGCATGAATCGATATTCACTATTGCAGTATTCCAATATACGACATAGTATAGAATAATAATAATATAAAACAAAAATAATGGTAGGAGTACATATTTAATATATTACAAATACATATATGTAATCGTATATTTTCTCTTGTAAACATAAAAACAGTGTAGTAGATGGATGGTATCTGCAAATGTAAAAAATCGACACTATCTTCCGACAATGTCGATATTTAGTAATATAGTTATATAGAAATTCTTTTGTAAAGTTTAACGTAATGAATAAAAAAACCTTTCCAATATGACATATACCATTAGAATTAATATCGGATGGGGATTAGTAAAATTAACTATTTGTTATATAAAATTAAAATAAAAATCGACATCATTATTCTACTACAAGGATGGTAGTGGGTTTTTCCACGTACATTGAACTATTAATGAACGAAACAAAGTTGGTAATTTTCTTGTTATATATATACCGTTTCTAATTATTCTTATCCCAGAAATGCGTATGTGCAATGTTTGACGTCTAACTATAGTCCAAGTAGTATCTGCATGAAAACGCCTATTTTTGGATGAAAAGGGTAGTATGCCAAATTAAAATAAAAATCGACATCATTATTCTACTACAAGGATGGTAGTGGGTTTTTCCACGTACATTGAACTATTAATGAACGAAACAAAGTTGGTAATTTTCTTGTTATATATATACCGTTTCTAATTATTCTTATCCCAGAAATGCGTATGTGCAATGTTTGACGTCTAACTATAGTCCAAGTAGTATCTGCATGAAAACGCCTATTTTTGGATGAAAAGGGTAGTATGCCAAATTTTTGTTAGAATCACTTCCAAAAGTTGTAAGGAAAGATAGTTAGACTATTAGTATATTTTTACGTTTCTTTTGCAATTTTTTACATTTTTGTAATGGAAAAAATGAATTTTGTGATTTGCAAACAATTGCACCTTATAGAAAAAATTTAATTACGTAACTTTCTACCATATTATGACTTTTCTCTGAAGTTTCTGACATATACGCCGTAATTTGAAGAAAAAAGCGGGGTTTTTTAATTTTTTTCATTGCTTATTAAAAAGTTAACCTACAGTTTTATGTATCCGCATAGTAAAATTATTTTTCCTTATGACTTGGAGAGATTCTAACGAAAATGTAGCATACTATCCTTTTCGCCCAATCCAAAGCAGATACCGCCTGGACTAATACCTTTGGCTATTCAATGCTATTCAATACTTTCAATATATGTAAAGGCCAGCGGGGCACTCCTTCATTTTTTTAAGGTTCTTGACCAATTTCGTTGTAAGAGCTAATTTTACTTATCATTATCACGATCGTCATAAGATCTTCAAAACGAGGACTAGATGGACTCGCATCTCCACTTCTTCGTAACTTATCTACTTGCATTTTTCGAAAATTATAGCAACCTACAACTATCTCGCCATTCTAATACCTCCTCATTTCTAACACTTTCTAGCCACAGTATTTTTATCATCCTCTTACAACACCATATGTTAAACGCTTCCAACTTTTTCTTTTCCGGTCTATATTTCACACCCATAGAGAGCCGTGCTCCAAACACATACCTTTAATAATCTTTTTCGAATTTCTAAATTAACCGACCTCCAGCACAAAAGTGATTTCCTTTTTTTCAAAGTTAAAAGTGACTCAACCTTGCATTATTCCTTGTTTTTATCTCTAACGATTATTCCAATCTGTTATCTGACTCCTTACTAATAATCGAAAACCAGCAACTTCTAGTTTATTGTCTCCTATTTTTATATTATTTCTAACTCTACCTGTACATCTTTCACATATCAATATTTTTGTTTTATTTGTATTCATTTTAATATTCCATTTTATTTTATTATTTAAAAATTAATTTAGGTATATATAATCATTTTGCTTTAAATTAAACATAAGATAAATGTTTGACGTAACAATTCTTTATATACTGTGGTCTGAAATTTTTATGTAAAAAAGTTAATGGATCTACGATTACCGTGTCTACGCGGAAGAAAAACACCTTATATTTTAGCAACGTGGCAGATTGACTATCCATAGCATATGATGTTTTTGGTGTGAAAAAAGAATCAGTGATGTGGCGTGCATTTGGTGTTTTTGTATGTGTTCTACTGATAAGTTAACAGGTATTTATGTTGTCATCCATCCTGATTTAGACCCATAATTGGACTGATTCAGTAGAGCCAAACAAAAAAATAATCTTTGATTCTCATTCCGGGGGCGGAAATTACGTTACTAAACGTTATTGTGGCACCCCTTTCCGTAGAAACATATTGACCTATTACTCGTTTGCCATTCAAAAATAACTTTCGGAGCCTGTAGTACAATAGATATTTTCGTTTGTCAGTATTCAAAATTCGGTGAGGTTCAAATTTGTATTTTTGTTACACCTCTAGTTATCAAAAAAGTTTTGGAATTGTACTAGTTGAAAGCAGAAGCATGCCCAACACTGGTGTATTCTGGTTTTCGGAGAGATAATGTCGGATGCTTTAGTTTCATAAATGACAATCAAACAGTGTCGACGCCATAATACTCGAAAGATCAAGTACCTACGTCTCTTCTTCAGCAGGTTCCAATGAAAGAACATCATAGAGACGCTCAAGTGCGATGCGTCGATTACCGTGTATGGATGATTCCCATTTTTTTGTAATTTCGGGGGACGTACCTTCCGTCTTAATGGATTGTATAGCCACATTTTGTCGCCTTCATTAAAACCACCAGGTTTAGTTTTCATGCGGTCATTTTTGAATCGCAGCTTTGTAAACACAGTATTATGGGATGACTTCCCGTCATTCTTTTAGTTTGCGCACGTATTCGTCTGTAGACAGTGGATAGTCTCCACGGAGACCAAATACAGTCGAACCTGGATATATAAGAATATAAGAAGAAGCTTCTAAAGTTGATCTGTACAGTAGCGTTGAAGCGTTCAAGTATCCCATCAGACTATACGTACTCCTCCTTTTTGTAATGCCATTAGTTCAGTGACTTTCTTGAACAAAGCCGCAATTCCATTGGTACTCCATATCGGCTAACACACTTTGCGAAAATGTAATGTTTTTCCTGATGTAGTAGTGCATATAGTTTGGTCAAGTTGCTAAAGTAAACTATCCCAAAATGTCCTTTGTCGTGGACTGCCTCTAAGGTTTTTGACACTCGGCTCTTAGGAAGCACCAATTGAAAAGCTTATTTCTGATTCTATTCGGACTCCCCCATTCTTTTTAAAATAGCGCGGTTAGAAAAAGAGAATTCCATTGGGGCCAATAACTTTTTGTGGTTTAGCTTAGGTGGTTGACATTTGCCCACGATGGTCATGAGGTTCCGAATTATTTCCATCTCATTTTTGGGCCAATATCTTTGCCATTCCTCTGGTCTTCGATTCATTTATTATCTCCCTAGGAGCCCTCAGGCTGAATGGTGATTAGATTACAACAGATTAATGGCAGTCCTTTATTCCTTTCGTGGTAATTCACGCAAGATCTTCGGGGTAGTGGATCCACGTTGCTGTATTGTTAGTCTGGCCGATAATTGATATCGAATTTGTATTTTTGGAGTTGTTGTAACTAGCGTGCAGTTTGTCCTTCCGGTTTTTGAGTTGCGTTGAATATTCAACAAGGCGTAATCCGTAAGAGGAACTTCTGTCCATAGAAATAGGGTTTTAACCACAGACGGTACTTCTCGATGAGTCACATATTAATTCGTTCTAGTTTTGAGTGTCTTACTAAGGTACCCGATGATCATTTTCTTTCCGTTTCGTACTTGGGGTAACATATCACCAAGTCCCACAAACTATTAATGTCGGCATCAACGATGAAGGGTTCTCTAAACTGTGGCTATGACAAGATTGGGACTCCAGATTATGATCCCGAGTAGAACGTACAATTATACAAAATAAATGATTGCGTCCTCTGGGATAAAGTACCTACTCCGGACGTAAACTAGACCCCAGTTGGATGTCCGGACGTAGACTACTTTAATGGATGTCATCCATAAGTGCAAGTGGGGAAATTAGAAAATTTGAATGTTGAGATGAATAGATTAGAATTAGAAATAGTGATATTAGTGAAGTTCGTTGACCTGGAAACTTCTGGAGTGGAGACTTTAGAATAATAATACATACAGTGTACAAAGTTATTTACAAAAAAGCGATAGGATAGTTATGGTTAAATTAAACTCGAATCCGGTAAAAACGGTAATAGTGCAGATCCATATGCCTACATCTTACAATAATGAAGACGTAGAAGCGATTTGTGTAGAGATAGAAGACGTGTTGAGTTTAGTAAAAGGGCAAGAAAACCTAATAGTTGTAGGGGACTTCAACGAAGTAGTAGGTAAAGGTAAAGATGGTGCAATAGCAGATTCTTTTGGATGAGGCAATAGAAATGATAGGAGAGATAGACTGATAGAATTTTGCTATAAACATAACTTAACCGTCGCGAATACTTTATTTAACCATCACGTTAGGAGGCGCTGTACGTGGAAGATGGCAGATGATTTAGGGAGATATCAGTTAGATAACGTACTTGTTAGGCAAAGATTTAAAAATCAAGTGAAGAACTGTAGGAGTTATCCAGGAGCAGATATAGATGGCGATAATAGCTTAGTAGTTATAAAAACCAACCTTAAATTGAAAATTTTGAAAAAGAGGGAAGGTAGGAGACGTTTCGACTTAGAAAAGCAAAAGTATAGCGATACGCGGGTTAGGTTAGGTACAAGGACAGACGAAAAATGAGGCAGGAGAAATGAATGACAGGGACATAGAGACATAATGGAACAGCATTAAAATGTGCTTAAAGTCAGCAGCCACAGATGTATTAGGTCTTAAATAAAACGAAAATAGGAAACCCTGGATAACAAATAAGATTGTCGGATTAATAGATGAGAGGCGGAAATACAAAAACAGGATAGACGAAGAAGGTCAAAAAAGATTTAAGGCGATAAAGTTGGAAATAATTATAAAGTGTACAGCAGCTAAGGAACAGTGGATTGGTATGAGATGTAAAGAAGTAGAAGAAAAGATTGAAGTAGGTAAAACAGATGAGGCTTATAATAAATATAATTAAAAGGAATTTTAGAGAAGTATGGTACAGTAGGAATAATATAAGAACGAGGTAGGTGGAAAGAATACTTACAGAACCTTTACGCAGGCCATGAGTTGGGAGATTAGAGAAGGATGATACTGTGGTGATACATGAACTAGGTTATCCCATAATGAGAGAAGAGTT